AAACACTAACCTCATGATATTCTCAGGGTCGCATACCCAAGAAATGTTCTACTAATATCTAGCACCTAGGCCTTTGCCTCTCTTTTTGTACCAAAAAAAAGAGTATCTACTAACCTTTTACTTTTCACTGTATTTATTTACGTGGGGTTTGACCAACAATTTAGTCCTTATGTTACACAATTAACTAGTGTGTACCCCGTGCGATGCACGAGAACAATATTAAATTAACAATATTTGAATAGACCTCGAGTTTGAGTCACTCAATGGCGGAAGTGGAAACTACTATTGATCCTATTTAAAAAGAGGAAGAAAAAAATAATTATAAATTAAAGAGGAGGATAAACAATACTTAATAATTATAAATTAAAGATTCGGGGTCAAACAATGTAAAATTATTTTGTATAAGAGAATATAAAAAAAAATTGATTACACACCATTTCAAAATTATTATTATACTTTTTTGTATGGTTAGCGTATAATATTTATAAAAATATTAGTAATTAGACCAATAGAAATTAGCTTCTTAAAGTAGATAATGGATTTCTAGTAGTAATTATGAATTGGTTTCTATTTTATTTTATTTTTTCTTTTTAAAGATAATGGATTTCTAGTAATAATTATGAATTGGTTCTATTTTATTTTATATTTTCAAATCTATACTTATATAATAAGAATTAACATTTATCAAAATTAGTAACTTAATTAATGGTCAAAGTCAGTTTTGCATTAATTACTTTCCAAAATCGGTAACTTTTATGTCCTTTTCACACTTCTCATTAATTATGTCCTTTTCACACTTCTAATTAATTATGTCCTTTTCACACTTGTCATTAATTATGTTCTTTTCACACATTTAATTAATTCATTAATTACGACATAATTATCATAAATCATTCCATCTGAGCTTTTATCGTTAAAATGTATAGCGATATGTTATGACCTTATCCCATTGATATTTCCACGAAGTGTCCTTATCGCGTTCTATTTTTTGGTAACCACTCTATATCAATAACCGAATATTTGGTTAATGATAGCACACGTCTTTATTTCAAGGAGTGGATATTCTTTGACTTTTAATTAATCTGAACTGATTGCCTTGACTTTTCAATTTTTAAAAACTCTTTTGTTAAATATTTCGGCTTAAGATTCAGATTTCATTATACAAGTCATCGGATTGTTTGAATGAAAATGAATGAAAAGAACACAAAAGAAAGGTAGCCTTATTCACATAACCAATCCTAAAATATTAGTTTGTTCACCAAAAAGAGACAAATCCTAGAAATCCTAAAATATTAGTTTGTTCACCAAAAATATTAGTTTGATTTTTAGGATTTGTCTCTTTTGAAAATATTAGTTTGTGATAATGAGGAGTTACCAAATAATCAAACTCATAATGTTGTGTACAAGGAGGTTTTTAACAATATATGATTGTTACCGAACTTTTTATGATTCAACAATGTTCCTATGTATTTTAATGATTTCAATTTCGATCCTAATGCACGTGAGGTTATATTATTCTTCCAAATTTTATATCTCGTGCATCGCACGGGTTACGTACTAGTATATATAATAAGAATTAACATTTACCATAAATAGTAGTAAGGAAAAGTCAACCACATTTATTATATACTATTTTCAGCAACTTTTACATTTTATATTTTAATTTTAATTCATTATCAAAAAATTGGATGGTTCCTAAATTAATGGGTTTTAAATGCACCTATCATGTTTCAAAAATTATAAATCATTTAAAATCGGAGGGTTCCTAAATTAATTGTTACAAACTTTTCAAAGTTGTAATTTTTATGTCATCTTTTCTTTTTGACTTTTAGTAATAAAATTATTTTAAATATATATATTCTAATCCAAAAATTCAATCATGTTAAATATATATATATATTGAACGCTAAAAATATTTTTTAAATTGCATACTCAATTAATTAATCTTAATTTTTTTTAAATTACTATGTTTATTTTTTATTAATATGCATAAAATAAAAATAAATAGTTCATCTTTAGATATATAATTTATAATCTTAATATACTATCATTTGGTGTAGACATATGAATCATAAAATATTTTTATTTCATAAAATTAAATATTAATTTTAAAGAAAATAAGGAAATTACTTTGGATCAATCGGGTGATTAAATTAGGGTACTGCCCACTTTGATTGAATTATTTTTAGGTGATATTTAAAATAGTCAAAAAACTTGACACAACTTGGTTGGTCCGGTGTAACTAAGTTATGTATCAGTTTGACCAGACCAAATTGATTATTGAACCTAAATATAAATTTTAATATTGAAAATACTTTATTACATGAATGTGATGTAGTCCAAACTTCAAATAATCATATTAACAATACTTTTATGACAACATGAATAATGATTTATGAATATTTATATATCATTTTATTATTATTATTTATGTGAACAAAATATTTATTTCATTATCATTTTTATTAATGTACGGTAAATATAAGATTTTCAGAATCGGACCGTCTTGTGCTTGTTCAGATTTTAATACATAATACTTTAATATATATATATATATATATATATATATATAGTTCTTTTTGTAATAAATTTAAATAAAAAGTGTTACTTAAATATCTAAACAATTTATAAATTCAAATGTTTAAACTAATTGATAAACAATTTATAAATCTCTATTTTATTTAAATATGTAATTTTATTTAAAATAATTTTTCATGTAACAAAATTTGTTTAGAAATCGTATCGATCTTACCAGTCCAACATACTGGTGTTGGCGGATTCGATAGTAAATATTTTATTCAAGCGCACTAAATTAGTTATAAACCGGTTCTCGGTCCATGCGGTCGGACTGTGTCCAATCCAGTTTAATTTATAAATAATGGGTAAATCATGATTAATGTTATTTATTTATTTAATTTATAATAATACAATCAAAATATTATTTTCCCGTGCATCGCACGGGCTACGTACTAGTTTGTATAGATAAGGGATGAAATTTTTTAAACACGTGAAGCCTATGCAATGGGATTTTGTAACATAAGAGATAAGCTCGTGTAGATTTATACTAAAAATAGGAAAAAAAAATATTTATTGTCAAAAATGGTTTGAATAATTAAAAAAAAAAAGGAAAAAAGAGAAACAAATCTTTACACAATTAATGAGCCGATTTTTTTGCCTATTCAAATTTGTCCAATAATTACTATATGTACGATATATTTAATGATTTTGGCGGAAAAAAATTTCTAAATTTGTAAAAAGGTTATTCTTTTTATATAATGATAGATCTAGCAACTTATTTTTCATTCACCTTACACGTACACTCTACCCATAAACTAACTGACATCATTATATCATGTTACCAGTATTACTAATACTAGCAATTTTAATTTATTTTCCTTTCCGATAAAAAAAATCATTTTTTAGAAAGCAACAATTTTTTTAGATGAAATTATTAATCTCCTTTGTCTTGGTTGGTAGCCAGTCTGCATCAATTGATTCTTGTAAGCTTATTTCCCCTTTTATTTCTTGCTTTGCTTTTAGACAACCTACTGTTTATATTATCAGCCCTCAATTATTGAGCATCATTAGAAGTTCAAAAAGCACTTATTATAGAATATTGAAATGGATTAGGTTAANCTGTCAAACAGACATTTAATATATACACACATACAATAAAAAAAATTAAAGAGCAAATATAAAAAACGCGAGTACACTGTACACATCATAGTTATTCTTATTCAGAATTTCCATCAATTAGCAAGAAACAAAAAATAAAAGTAAAAAATAAAGATTATGAAAAAAAAATAAATTGCTAATTTCGAAGATTCCAACTGTCACCCACCTGGAAAGGGGAAAAGGGAATTAATTACAAGACGTAGTAATGAACAGATAATTAAATGAAAATGTGAGGGAGAGAGTTAGCTGAAAAGGCGCGCGGCCTAAAAATGGGCGATTTTGCGGTGGAGCAGCCGGTGCCTGGCCGTGCCGGCCTCCGTCTCTAAGTTCTTCAAGCTCCGTATCGCCACCGTATCCCCTTTCTCCACCTCCTTCACCACTCGCAATTCTGACATACATTATCACATTGAAAAAAACCATTATCATCAGCAAAAAAATAACCAAAAAAGGAGGAAAAAAAAAGAGAACAATTAGCCAAATATCTCACTCTCAATTAATTAACAAAATAAAAAATTCCAAAATTTGGGCAATTGCTTACTACCAGTGGAATCGGAGAGAGCCCCAGGAAAATCGAACTCAGCCAAANAAAAACCCAAAACAAGTAATAAAGATGAAATTAATCAGCTGCTTAAAAACGATTTTTGTTTTCAGTTAGCGATGCCAGCAAATGAGTAGAGCTTAGGGACCATTTTGAGAAGGATCGTGAGATACGAGGTAGAGAACGAGAAAGCAGAGGAGCGTGAGCATTGGGATCAGGTGAATGTAGGTTTGGGGCTTATTGTCAAAATTGGGAGCCCTAATTTTCATCATCTTCTTCGCATCTTCGTCTCGAGCTTCTGCAGAGGATGATGGCGATTGAGAGGGAAATTGTTTCTGAGCTTCGCAGCTCAGCTGCTCGTCGGCCTTCGCGAGCTTCGACGACGGCGAACCCAGCGACTGCCGGTGCATGTTTGCTCGGTTTAGAAAGAGAGAGAGAGAGAGAGGTGGGTAGTGAGAGTTTTTTGGGTGAAGATAAGAAAGTAGCTGTCAAACCCACCAAGCTAAAAAGATGTTATTGTGTTGAGATGGTGGTTTTTTTTCTACTCAGCCGAATAAAATAGGCATAAGGGATAAGCTGAATAGCTGACTCTAGTTGGGAGGACTACGAGTATAAGACGACTAAGACGACACTCTAGAGTCAGTCTACAACATAACTCACAACTAAAAGACTCTCAAAAAAAAGAATAAACAAAAAACTTCCAACAACAGAATACATCAATTATATTACATTTCGGTTTGGTACCGATGTTTCTACTTAATTAATTTAGTACAGAATATTTTGTGTATTAGTTGTTTCAAGTCAATTCGTTTCGATAGAAAACTATAAAAAGAAAAACTATACCGATATTTCAACTTAGTCAATTTAGTACAAGATATTTTGTGTATTAGTTGTTTCAAGTCAATTCGTTCGGAAGAAACTAAAAGAAAAAAGAAAAAAAAAATATAGCATTAGGAATTTGTCCCTTAAAATGCGTTGTGGTTGGAATTTAGAAATGTGCAACAAAATTTGAGGCGTTGTGATTTTCGCAGGTGAATTGAGTTCATAATTTTAAAATAATATAAGATTTGTTGAAATCTATCATATGAACCAATTGTGGTAGGCAATGGCGGCCAACAATAGGGACGGTGATAATATTATTTTCTTACATAATATTTTATTAAGTGGCTAATTTATAATAAAAAAATTATAATTTATTTAGATTTTTATTAATTAAAAAATTAATTGTTGATTTTTAATTTTTACCACGGACCAAATTGATTAAATGGATCAAAATAATTAACGGAATAAACATAAGTACCAAAGTTGATCAAGTTAGAAACATGAGATAATAGTATTTTTTTCCCTTTACATTCCCCTTTAAGTTGCAAAAAGTTGAAATGGAGTGTTCTTTTTATTTACTTATTAATTATTATCACACTCCAAAGTTAAATAGTATAATTAATATTGTTGACCACCGACTTGGTAACGCACAAAATATCCAAGCGATAATCAGACTTGAACGTTTTAGAACATATAAGGAACGAGTTTATAGTGAAATCGGCCTTAATGACGATAATTTTGACTTATTTACATACATAAAGACAACTCATTTAAGAAACTGGAGTCGCTTCTTTTCACACCGACGTGACGAGTGACCTCGGTCAGTATCGAGTTGACCACCGACTTGGTAACGCACAAAATATCCAAGATAATCGGACTTGAACGCTTTAGAACATATAAGGAACGAGTTTATAGCGAAATCGGCCTTAATGACGATAATTTTGACTTATTTACATACATAAAGACAGCTCATTTAAGAAACTGGAGTCGCTTCTTTTCACACCGACGTGACGAGTGACCTCGGTCATTATCGATGTGATGAGTGATCTCGATCAGTACCGAGCTCCCAAACCTTCTTCACCGACGTGACGACTGACGTAGACCGAGACTGAACTCCTCAAAACCAAAGCAGGTGACGTTGCGCCTACGCGACACCCTTGCATACCGTGAAATATATCATGATGATTTGCGGGCCCAACTGCCACAACCGCCCCTTAAAGATGCTTTATGTGCGACGCTAATAATGGGTGGGCCTCAAAATGTGTGTATAAAAAAATTTAAAAAAATTACTATAAATAGGTCCAGATTTTCCCTCAGAGGGGAGGATTTTGGTAACGACATCTATTCGGTGACACACAAATCGACTTCATAATTACCAAATAAAAAACATCAATTATCAAAATTTCATATCTGGAATCACTTAATCCCTTGTTTATTACGTTGTCCAAAATCGTATGACAAAAATTTGGCGCTAGAAGGAGGGTCTCATAATTGTTTGAGGCTAATCTTCGACTCCCAGCAGAAGGCAAACGCTGTTTGAAAGTCATCTTAATTCAACGACAAATGTCCCAATCAAGGCAAGATCATCAGACCGCTAGGGGTAGCGCGAACTGCAACCCCAATCAGCCCGTCGGCCAGGGCAACACGGCGTCACAATACCTGACTTGGCAACACTCTTCCAGAATCCAAAATTTGCTAAAGGATTCTCCACCCTGTTGTCACAAACTATTCCCGGAACATTAAGAGTGCCACCAGGACTGATTATAGCCCCAATAACACCATCAAGACAAGGGGTTCCTCTGACACAAGGACATGTTGAGAACCACGCTGCATCGCACGCAACATCTCAACCGCGAGATAATAATCCTCAAGGCCCGCCGGTGGGAATTGCCGCCCCGCCGGGAGGGAATAATCTACAAGAGGTAATAGCAAAGAGTCACTCTGGGCATGCCAGGAGGCTGCCGCCCCTGCTCGACCGTTATTTCGACAGACGGAAAATCCGACTGATTTACAGTGTCAAATAGATATAAATCGTTCTGCCCGACGTGAAACCTCGGAGGCAGAAGCATTAAGGAGAAGGGTCGCCGAACTTGAAGCGCGGCACACGACTCAGTTCCGACCTCCGCCGAATTTCCACACCTCGGAACCAGGCCACGTGTATTTGGAAATCGACTCGCCCTTAGCTCCCGAGTTGACCACGGGCCCTTTACTCGGAAAAGTCAAAGTCCCGCAAATTGGACTCTATGATGGGACCTCGGATCCTGATGCGCATCTCGGACATTATACTTCTTGGATGGATCTTCATGGTGCGTCAGACGCTTTGCGATGTCGAATGTTCACTCTTACCTTGGGACCCCGAGCTCAGAAATGGTATCATTCGTTGCCTCCTCACTCCATTTGGAAATGGCAACTGCTGACTATTGTGAGAGGGTGCAAGGATGATGTTTGCCCGATATTTGGGGCATGTTAATTTTGGTTGTCACCAATTTTAAAAATGGATAAAATAATAATAATTACTTGAAATGTAAAATTGTGGGTGATTTTCAGGTCCAGTTGATTATCGACATTATTTTGAAAATTATTCGGCAATTTAGATGGTTTCGGCTATGGGCATAAGCTATTCATCATCATAATTCGATTAACATAATGTTTTAAAAGTTGTTAGGCGTTTCCTAAGTGGTGGACTGGGGCCTAGCGCCTAGTACCCCTTAACGGAGACTAGCTTCACCTAGACAAAGTTGTGAAATCATTAACACATAAATAAAAAAACCTTGACAAGAGAATTAAACTAGGGGGATTAAGGAAAAAGATAGCAATAGGTATTTAGGTTTGCCTATGGTGAATGGTAGGTCTAAATTGGATGTTTTCAGCTTTGTGAAGAAGGAAACCCCTCATAGAACCCTGAATTGGAAAAAAATGTTTTTCTCAGCCCTGTTGGTAAGTAAATTCTAATCAAGGCTGTGGTGAATGTTCTACCGGTTTATATAATGTCTTGTTTCAAAATGCCCCATGATTTACTAAAACAGATGGGCTATATTGCTTCAAAATTATGGTGGGGCTGTAAAGAAGAGAAAAAAAAAATCATTAAAAGAGCATTTTTAATTCATACAAATGCAAAACGGTTAAATATTATTNAATTGTAGGGTATGATTGATAAAACTCTATTGATTGATAAACTTTTATTATGTGTGACAGTAGATTAATATAAAGATAATTTTATAAGATTATATTGATTTTCGTATTGTATACTCTACGTAATCTCGAACTACTATATACTAGTACAATACCCGTATAATACACGAGTGTTGAATTAAAAAGCTTCTGTAAAAAATAATAAATTTTTTATTTTTTTAAAAAACAAAAATAATTTAATTTTATATAAAACATTATTTTGGGTTTTAATTAAATTGTCAAGTTATATTTTTTTAATCATAATAATTAAACACCTGTACATTAAATGAAAATGTCAACCCGTGTTGAATTTTTTTCCTTATATAATATGAAAATATCGATATTATTGACTATTACATAAGTACTACAAAAATATATAGCTTAAATAAATAGAAATAATATGGTGATATGTATATGCATAGGCGTAGAATATGTTTATTTAATATTAAGCAAAATAGATTATTTTTTACTTAATTAGATACCTAATATATCAAGTGTCGTATCGTGCTTCACAGTTTTTTAACTTTATATGTAATTTTAGAATTTAGATAAATAATTATTTATTTTTATTAGATTGACAACATACCAATTAAATTTGAAATAAATATCACTTTTAAAAGAATACATACCAATTTTTATTACTTTATAATATAATTTATAGTGTTATTCGATATAGTTTAATTTAGTTTGATAAATAAATTTAAATTTTACTTATAAGGATATATATTACTGTTTTGTATTTTATATATATAATATGATTGTCAAATCGAAAATCGTTAAAAGATAATTAATTTGATATATCATATATGAAAAATAAAATACAAACAAAAAAGTTATAAGATCTTAAAATAAGAAGAAGAAACATTTATAAAAACTAATGAATGAATTATATAAGAAAATGAAATGTGATGTATGGTAATGTAGGAAATGAAACATAAAAGAGTTTATGGTAACTAATTGTAGAAGTAAAGGAGGAAAAAGTCAATCATGGATTTAGTGTGATAAAAAATATTAATTTATATTCATGTCTAACTCCAAAGCATAGTTTTTTGCCAAATAGTATTTTGAACCATGAGAATTTACCACGTAGGCTCAGTGTATTCTGAAATTATATGTAGAGGGGATAAACCTAACTTCTTAATAAATATCACTGTATTAAAAATTGTTCTAGGTGGCCGTCTAGGCGATAGCCGCCACCCGACTACCTCCAATTTGTATAAATCGACTGAAAAAATCGGTTAGGCGGCGCCTAAGCGGGCCAAGGCACTCCTTGGCAGGCTCGGCGGCCAGGTGACTGGGCTACGCTTAGGTGGACTCGGTGACAAATTTTTTTTTTTTTTAAATACTAATTACATTGTTGTCATATTTTCTTTATAATATATTAATATTATTATTTAGACTTAAGTTTATGAATTTATTATAAGTTGAGATAATTTTATTTAGATAGTGAAAATAAATAAAAAATAAGGTATTTAATCTCAATTTATAGGTCTAGTGCGCTGGTCGAGCGACTAGCAGGCGCTTTTAGCAACTTTTAGAACAGTGATAAATATAATAATTTTTATACTTACATATCATGATTTTAAAAAAATAATAAATAAAAATATAATATTATACATTGAAAATAAAAAAAAATAAAGTATTACATTTTATTGTAATGATAATGATATACCTTTTATTATTAATAGTAGGTGAGCTTCACAATACAAATACATACTATATTTGTATATAGTCTGTGACCAACCTCACAAGTCACCCGCAGGACCAAAAGGCGAATTTTTTAAGCGAAATTTCTCGAGGCATCTTCAAATTACTTGCCCAAAACGAAAAAAACTTCTTCAAATTGTTTCTGAAATTGCTGGTCAATCGCAAAATACTTCCTGCGTGCGCCATTGAATCGAGAGAAAAATGGTTCTGTGGGAGATCACATTGGGGACAGCGTATTTTTTGGGTCTCAAACGAACGTACAAACTCGCTCTCAAACTTCAGCGGAAGCTCATCAGCCCCAAGCATCCTAAGATTCGCCAATTTGTTCAGAGGTGTTGTCGTCTATCTGTTGTTAATGTGGTTGATTTTAATTGTTTAGTGTATATTTCCTTGGTATTTTCAATTTTATGTTCTCATCGGTGTTATCAGTGTTTCAGTTCTCTTGCTGCGATTATCTGGTAAAATGTTCGGCTCAATTTATGATATTGGCTTATAATTTGTATCTGATTTATCTGCGAAGTTAGTATCTTGGTCTGAGAATATGTCCTCTAGGCTAGGGCTTGATTCATAGAGTTTGGTTAGTTACTAGGTATACACGTTCTGAATTTGATGAATGGTGTGAGGAACATATTATGTTCTTTTGGGAGGTGATAATGGTTCTTTTTCTTTTCAAACTGTCAATTCTTTCTTCCCACTTACATTTTGGATTTTCGTGGCATTTATCTGCTTCTGTTCTTGATTATTATTTTATAGTCCTTGAGTTCTTGGTGAGCTTTCAACGGGAATTTGACTTCATTTGCATCCTGCTGATTCAGTATATGATTTTTTACATCATTCATTGTTAGATAGCATAGCTTATCTTATTTTAGTGATTGGTTGCTGATGTAAAATAATAAGTCTGTTGAACAATCTGGCTACAATTTACTGCTCTCAAGCCCTGATCCCCCTGAGAGGTAGACAAAAGTAAATCGATATGAAATAAATGGAACAGACTATTAGTATGCTTTGGGAAGAAGAAAATTTCATGAATTTTTGTTTGTATCAGAAATTGAAGGTGATAGAGCAATGTGTGCATGTATGGTCTCATTAATACTTAATGACAAATGGTTTATTGAAAACAGACTTTGCAGTTTAAGCCAATTTTGATTTACAACAAAGGATTCTATTGAAATTGATCGTTTTGGAACATAACTATATTTGCATCAAATTATTCTCTTTGAGTTTTGCTCATGCTTTTGTATCTAAGTTATATGTAATGTTTCACTCACATTATTATTGATCATTTGTTCTCCATGAAATTAAGAAGTGTGCAGAGAATGTTATCTTCACAAGTTAAGTTCAAGACGAGCACTGGAGTTTCACGGGAGTTCCTTTTCATGCAGGCGTATTTTTTAGTTTGTTACTAAGTTGCTATGCGCTTCTTTTATTAAAGGTAAACCATCATACGGCGTCATTTATCCTTTAATTTGTTATTAAGTCGTACGATGTCGTTTTTGCATTAGCTTAGGGATTTCTATTTTGAGCTTAGAGTCACGCTGCGTGAGTTTTCGAAATGATGTGAAGAAAAGCTAGAAGAAATTTGGTACTAAGATTAAAATCTCTGGTCCATCATCATTTCCAAAACTCACATCCAAACATTTAAGTGAGTATTTATACTTTCAGCTCAAAATAGAAATCCTTAAGCTAATGCAAAAATGACGTCGTACGACTTAATAACAAACTAAAGGATAAAACGACGTCGTATGATGGTTTAGCTTTAATAAAAGAAGCGCAAAACAAAAGGCGCATAGCAACTTAGTAAACTAAAAAAACGGCCTGCATGAAAATGAACTCCCATGAAACTCCAGTGCTCCTATTGAACTTGTGAAGATCACATTCTCTACAAAGTGAAAAATGCTCATTATAATTTGCAAATGCAAATTATTACCTTTTATGTCTCATGTGCTGTGATCCCATGTATAATGCAACAGCCAATGAATATGCTAGATTTGTCTCGGTCGTCGTGTGTGTGAGAGGAACTGATGGTTGTTAGCGCCATTTTGACAGAACATACAATTGAGTTTACTGATGAAATTATGCAGTGAATAATTATGGAGCTCTTCCATTTGGTTACTTGAATAATTAGATTGAGTTTTATTTGCTAGGAGAGGAAACGTAAGAATGAGTAATCATGGTATTTGTTGAGAAACTTTTACTTCCAAGTAAAGTTTTTGGGACAAAAATTGCCTTTAATGGTATGAAACGAAACTTTCTTGTACTGGATCACCCCTAATCCTGGAAGAATTTTTGTTCTTTCTTGTTTCTTTCAGCTGTCTTCAATTTATATTTCTTTTTTAATCTCTTCTAGTAAAAGATCCCCCAATATGTAGCTATATCAAATGTCTGAATCTTATGCCGATATTGAAATCACATTGTTCTTTGACAGATAGTTCACCAATCTGGAAAACAAAAACGGATGTAAGTATTAATACAAGAAGTTAAGGAGGTTGCAGGACAAATAATTTTTCTGTGTCAATTTGCATGTCGAGTTACCATCTGAACCATCCTTGCTCACTAGTTTACGAATTAGCCAATTGTATATTACGCTGTTACAATCTGCTCAACTTTAATTTTTTTACTTCCCTTTTGTACTTCTGTCCTGCTCCATAGCCAGCCAACAGAAATTTCAGTACACCTAATGCTTACTCCAGTTTATTTTTTATTTTTTTTTTATTTTTTTTTTTCAGACGGACTCGAAGTGTATTTGACATAGCACTCAAAGTTCATCTCAAGGTACAAGAGAGAGACATCGAAGTCGGTCGGAACCTGGGGAACCAGATCCTCCGCTGGCTTGACAAAATGAAGCCCGAAGCACAGATCAGGGGCCCAACTCCTTCGGGCCCACATGCAAATACAAACATGACTCAGCAATCGGGCCCTTCACAGCACCTGAACAATCAAGGAGGAGGCTTCCCCAAGCCCAACTCGAGGAGTGCTGGTAAAGAATCCGACAGGCATTTCTTTACAGCCACGCGTAGCATGTGGCCAAAACATTTTCCCACGATTTCCATGATGATGAGGCCCATGGGCCCCACTGGACAGAATACACAGTATCGGCAGTATGGGACTCGTGGGCCTGAGCTTTTCTCTGTGGACTATGGTAAATTTGGGTTCGGGCAAATCCTCAGAAATGACTTGAAGCAGTGGGTTTCATATCGTTGATTTTGTAGCAGCCACTACATTGTTTTTTTCTTTTCTTTTCTTTTGCTCATTTTTAGACTCTTGAGCATATAGCTCGGATGACCGAAGCTTTGGAAGTTTTTGAGTTTGGTGCCAAGAGTCGAATAGGGTAGTGCAGGAAAGTTGGATGGGTGACTGCCCAAATGCGGGAACTGTTTGCTCACTTTATTTTGAGCTGGTGTGCTTTCCCTTCAGCAGTTTTTTTCCCTTCAGCAGTTTTTTTATCTTGATAAAGACTACCCTTTTTTTTATTTATTTGTTTAAGTAATTTGAACATTTGCTTCTTTCGAAAGTGTGCGTGTTGTCTTTCCAAATGGAGCAAGTGTGGATGTGGTTACATTTGATATGCTTAAGGATTTTCAGACATTTACTGTGAATTACACAGGTTCACACAGGTGCTTGATGGAGTATAATTGAGGTGTAAGGTGGTTTGTGTGTGTGTTTACAAAGTAGATGACCGAGAATTTCACGGTGCTTTTCTTCAGCCTATGTAACAATCATAAAGCATTATAATAATAATAATAACAATAATAATCATCAGAAATGTTAGCTCCTGAGAAAGACACCGTGATACATAAGGAGAAGTCTCAGTAGTATTGTAAGATTAAAAAGTGCCAGAAAATACATGAAAACGGAACCCAAATGTGATTCGCAGGCACACAGCTCAGGTCAAAACAAACAAAATAATGACAATCCTAGATTTCATGGTGCCATCTTTATCCATATAATAGGACTGAAAATGATAAAAGCTCTAAAAGAAACTGATATAGTACTTAATATGCCCTGTGTATGAATGCACTGGAGATGCCCCCCACAAGTCACAATGAACAAGTTCAAAAACACAAGAATAAGTGGACCGAGATTCAGGAAAAGACTGTGAATCTTAGATTTGCAGCATGCATCACACAATGAAGGTCTCTCATGCATTGAACAAGTTCAACTGCTCATTACATTTGATTAATACTTGGTTTACCACATCATGAGAAGGATGACCAAGTCTTTGATGCCAAGCATAGAAACATAAGCAAAGGATTTCAATTCATTACAAACATTTGCACTTGAACTTGAATTCTTCTCAGACTTCTTGAGACAACTGAGATAATCAAACTGATAGAGCCCATTACTAATTCTCTGTTGGAGTAACACTTCTCCCATAGCTTAATCCTTAGCAAAACAAAACCGTGGGTGAAACTCAAAATAGAGAGAATTATCCAGTGCAAATTGAGACACTTACTAAGTTCTTGGTTATATTTGGAACAAGAAGAAGATTTTTCGTAAGAAACACTGATGATCCTGATGGTTATATTTGTAACATTTGCAGACAACACAATAGTTTCTTCAACAGTAGTGCTACTGACAGACTCAAGTCTTGACTCAAAGCTCAAGGGTAAAGCCCAAACTTCATTAAGTGTAAAGGGATCTGGTTTAGAGGTAACTGTTACCACTATTGAGTCATAATCAGATCCAAGCCAGCAAAAAAATGCAAGATCTAGTCCGTTTCTTTAACTTTCCAGCTGAAGCCAATGAGTCACAGCATAGCTTGATCTTGCTTATATACTCCCTCATGGTAAGGCTCTATTTCTTAGAGAGTTGCAGGTTGTACTGCATTTGTCTTGCTAATGATTGACTGCAGTAGTTCATCTCTAAGGTTTTCCACATCTCATGCACTGGATCAACACCAACAAGAACAAGCAGACTTTCTGAAATAGAGGATATCATCCATGAAGCTAGGAGTTGATCTTGTCTCTGATAGGCAAGATATTCTGGATTTAACACTAGATCTTCAGAGTTTTCTTTATGTATGCACTTCGAAGGAACTGAGAGAGTGCCATAGAGATAACAATCGAGCCCATACCCTTTCACTGCAGCTAAGAATTGTTGTTTCCATATTAAATAATTGCTTTCAGATAACTTTGTGGTGATGATCTGATACTGAGGTTGAATCACTTGCAGATTGAGTTGGTCTGAAAAAGATTTGTGTGAGTAATGAGTCCTCTATGGTTTGAAACTCAAAACTCAAACAGATGAGAAGTGTGAGTTGATGTCTCTCTCTTTTGTTTGAAACTTGTTTGCTAATAACATGTATGGATCATGACTCTGGTACCATGAAGAAATTTATGAAGCACTGTTCCATTTCCAATGAACAATTCATTAAAGCAGCCGTCTGATGCTAACAAGGAAACTTATAAGGTATTTATATTTACTATTAGAGAAACTAAAACCGAAATTAAAAACCTAACAAGAAAAATGACTAACAATGTGGTCCATGCAAGTGCATTAAATTAAATGAGCTGGAACTAGGTTGGATGCTTATGCTGGGGAAAATTCGCTGAAATTTCCATGAAGTCGGATCTATAAAAGTGAAATAAAAATAAAAATTGGACACACCAAATTGATAACGGAGTTCGGCCAATAATGCCTACGTCTCCGGACTACTGCAAATATTTTATTAGGAGAAAAGAAAACACTCGTGTTTACAAACACTATCAAACTCACTCACAACTCACAACTCAAATACAGTAGCTAAAACTTTTATTTTCTGCTCCCTTTCTTTTTCTCTCTTTCTCTCTGTATTTGGTTCTTTTTGTTGTGGTGCCTTTTGTTCATCGAAATCCATCTCTATTTATAGAGTGGAAGTGCACACCTTTTTCAATATGTGTGTGCTTAATTTTCCACAAAAAAATCAACATGAGGGCTGCTGCAATTTTTAAGGGCTGCCTCTCTTCATTGTCAAAAAATGGCAGCTGTCAACAATTGATGGCTAACAATCTCCCACTTGAGGACTGATTTCAATCTGTCCTCACACCTCAATTACTGCAGTAGTCTTCTCCGGCCTGTTATTCTAGCAAACCAACTGAAGTTGAGCACAACTTCAGTTTGTCAATGGTCACCACCTTCGTTAGCATATCTGCAGGGTTCTTGCTTCCTACAATCTTGTTCAAAGTCAACACTTCATCCTCGAGCAGAGATCTGATGAATGATAACGTATATCAATGTGCTTAGTTCTGGAGTGAAACACTGAGTTCTTTGCCAGATGTATTGCACTTTGACTATCACTGTGCAAGACACTCTCTTTTTGAGTGAAACCCAACTCTGCTAACAATCCTTGAAGCCATATCAATTCTTTGCTGGCTTCTGTCACTGCTACATACTCAGCCTCTGTAGTGGATAGAGCAACAATCTTTTGTATCCGCGACATCCAACTAACAGCTGTAGCTCCGACAGTGAAAACATAACCGGTGGTGCTTCTTCGGTGATCAACTTCACCTCC